TATTATTATTGTTTTTGAAGTTAGTAATTTTTGCTCGTGAACGATTAAAGCGTTTCATTTTCTCAACAGATCCGAGAGCTTACAAGGACCGAAATTTGTGCTCCACCCGCTGAGCTCGAGATATATCCACTGGACATTCTGAATATTATTTTGGCAATCATTATTATATGGATCTTGGTTAAATTTACCTATGATTACTACGTATTTAAAAATACTGGCAAACTTCCCAGAATCGTTCATTTGATACCTTAATAGAGACATTTATTTTGCTGTGACTTAGACACTAGTGCTGCTAGTCGGTATTTTGTTAAAGATATTTTCAAGTATTTTGTATGACCACCTTTTGTGATTTTTAATGGCTATTTAATAATGTACTTATAAAAAGTGTGTTTTCGATTGCAATGCAAAAAATATTTAGTTTATCCTTGACTTTTTGTAAGTATTGCATTTTGTGTATAACATTTGATTGTATAGAGAGAGATGGCAATCTAGACCTGGCGTATAATTTTTTATGTTCAACGTTATTTTGATTGACGTATTTTCAAGAAAGTATAAGAATAAAAAAAAAAAAAATAAATAAATAAATAAAAAAAAAGAAGTTTTTTGAGTACGTTACTAAAAAAGTCGATAACTGCAAAATTGAGAGCTTGCCATCCTCATACCTCGGCCTGCAATAGAGTGGATGTATTAGTGAATGTTACTAAGAAAATTAATTTTAACTTAATGTACATTTGTTATATGTAAAAGCACTTTTTAATAATAAAAGTTTTTCATACAAACTAGTGTCAATTTTTATATGCTCCAGGTTTTTAAATTACAAACATTTGACTAAATGGTAAAAAAGAATTTCGATACCACAGTGATAAAACAAGCTTGTTTTTTTTTGTTTTTATTCATTTAATCGTATTCGTAGTATTTGGTTATTTGGTATAGAAAGATGTACAAATTTTACATTTTTTATCAAAGTTGCTATTTATAGTACATCACAGGATGAAAAAAATCCTCACCCTATTCCTGTTTCAAAGCAATTGAAAATTCTATAAACTTTTGTTTTGCTCGATAGAAATACGGATGATTAAAAAAAAAAAAAAAATGCAAAAATTTACCGCCGAGTTAAATCCCAACTCAAAACAGAAGGAAACGATGAAAAGATTTAAGAATAAAAGCTCAGCTCCAAGAGCTTCATACAGGTGCCCCAATAATATTTTCCACTTACAGCCTACACCCTCGTCCGATAATCGTTTAGCGTAGCGTAAAAGTCTCTTGCACTTTGATCTCGTTCTCCGATATCTCACTTTGAGACTTTTCCTCCTTCTGCTTCTCTTTCTCATTTTGCTTCCCTAAAGGGGCTTTTCTCAGGTCAATCGTGCCAGCTACTTTACCGGTATACCTACATACACCTCTGATACTGTCTTTTCTTCTTGTGCTCATACGTGTTCAACGAGGTGTTCATATATATGTAATACTTTCCGGAGGAGATGGGGGTACGTGTGCGCTGCTAATGGAAAAACACTACTTGAACAAGTGTCCCACGTTCCACCTACGATGGTAGTTTGTTTTTTTATGGTCTGTACACGTGTGTACTCTACTCGCGAATGAACGTCTTAACTGTTCGGTTCCTTTGTTTTGCCTGTTTTATCATTTGCTTTGTTGTAACAATTAATAAATTGAGCTGCTGATTTTATTCTTCTTGTAATATTTTTTTTCTTCAATCGTTTATTATGGATGGTGGATCACTTTAATAAAATTAATAATTTTTTTGTTATATAGTATCTATCTATAGTTAATTAAATAAATAAATTATTATAAATTACACGTAACCTATTGATTTTTTAATTTTTACATAGTTTGGAAATTATTAATTTATTTATATGCTGTTTTAAAAACATTAAGTATACGTTTTGTTGCGTATAAAACTCATGCATGGCTAGTGCAGATAAGCTGGTTGAATATGGTTCTCGCTACGCAACATTAGATTGGTTCGAAACCGAGGTATATTTGTATATATTAGAAATACGTACGTAAAGACCCTTTATATTATCTCAAAAGAAGAAGAAAAATTTTACATGACGGTTTCCGTATTTCAATAAATTTTTTAAAAATATTTGTTTGCTTTGTGTTATTAAATAATTTCATGATTAACGAGGAATAGTTAAAATAAGCATTTTTTAATTACTTTGCAATAAATTAATAATCCAATTCTTATATTTTTTCAATTAATTTTACGTGAATAGAGAATCAATTAATTAAGAAACAACTGATATACTAATTTTTTAAACGGTATACATGTTTTTTTTTTAATAGGAAAAAAAAATTATAAAATTTTTTTTAACCAATCCTTAAGTGAATAACAAAATCAGCACCTATGAAAACCACAAACACAATGGCAATATTAGTTATACGTTCTAAAAAATATTTACAAAATTAATTTATCATAAATAAATGACTGAATAATTATCATGACTGGCCTCCGGTGTTGCAGAGTTTAATTAAAATTAAAAGCATTTTAAGTTAGAAAATAATAATTCATGTTATTTTACCGTGTAAAGAGGTTTTGACAAAAAATGTAGATTTTTTGTAATATTTTTTCCCGATGTATTTTCAAGAAAAAAAATCATTTAAATCCACACTTTAACATAGACTCTTATGGGGATCACTAATTGAATTTTATTAAATATAACTTTTTTTAAGATTCTGCGTGGGATTTTTTTTAAATTTCTTTATTTTTTTTTAAATACAGGTTATTTTTAACGAGGAGAAATTTTTTTAGGTTTTGATTTATGTCAATGGTAGCTTGAATACACTTTAATTGCTGACCCTCATTAGAGTCTATGTTGTGGAATTCAATGATTTTTTTTCTGCCTTACAAAATGTATTCGCACATGCAATATTCTAAAAAAAATATAAATTTTTTTTAGCGTTATTTAATATTTCTTACATTTTGCCGGAATGTCCTTAAATCACCTATGTGCAAAGATCGTATGATTATTTTATTTAAAAAAATTTTTCATGTATTTATTCTTACTTTTATTGCTTTAATTTTTTCCAACCAACGTCCACAAAAGTCATGCAAAATCATCAAATGTACAATTCGGTGAACCAATTCACGTCTATCCGCCCTCTTTCGCGACCAAATTCGATAAGCCAAAAAGCTACATAACGCATGCCACCGCAGGGGCTTTTCCACGTCGACAGAAAAATCCTTTCCAAGCTGAAAAGGAACACGTATACCTTTCGCAAGAGACAGGTTTTGCAAGCCAGCGATATTTTTTCCTTTCAAAAGCCTGCACCTTTGACAGTCAACGGTATCCAACTCTGCACACTTTCTTTAGCTTTTACAAAAATCAAGTACCTCATACGACCGCGCACTTGACAAATCCATCAATCATCACGAATCTTCTGTGAATTTTTCTTATTTCGTCGTATTAATTATTGAAAATCAGCGTTTTATCGTCTCTATGGATTCCTGAACAAAAAAAAGTGGAGTTCAAGCTCACAGGAACGCATACATATATAGTACGACAAAAAAAAAAAAAGAATGGGAGATCTCCCCCATTTCTGTTGGCCTTCTTATCCATCGGTATAACGGCTAAGTTCCGGCGTCCATTATCCATCGGCATCTAATAAACGTACATGTATACACCTCGAGGGTGAGTAAAACTCTGGGACAATGTATACCTATACCCATACGTGTACACTTGCGTGAGCACTCGTAATTTGAACTTGTCACGCGATACAGCCTCGAGACTTTCGTGGACGCCTTTACACCCAAGCTCGTATACATAACGCGTGTACAAGTGTATATACACGACGCAAAGTCTCGAGCTTTCGCGTGTGTCTCGCCCCCCCCCCCCTCAACTCGCATTCACCCACACACTTTGAAAATTAAATACCTCTGCTTTAAGGAAAAAAAATGTTTATTTTTTTTTTTAACCCTTCCGAGATTATATATTTTTTTTTCTTGGTATTTATTTATTTTTCATTAGAATCCGAGTGCAGCGTACGTACACACACGGGGTTCCACCGCGACTCAATTAGCACGCAATATCGATGCGGTTGCGGGATAAGAGGTTGGGTTTTTTTTGACTCTGTGTCTTTTTTTTCCTCAGCTTAATTGGGCTGCTGAGATTTTAACGTTCAATTAACACGAGCCTCTCCTCCGTTGCGATACGTTGTGCTGTACGAATGGTTTATCGTGAGGCTGCTGCGGTATATTGCGTGCTTACATGCATATATTGTACGTTTAGTGAATATTTTATGGATGATAAGATGCCTTGTTGAATTTAATGTAATGGTTATTAATATTTTAAACAATATTGGAGTGGCTCTTTGTATAAAAATATTGACAAAGGCATTTGTTATGCCTATTCCGTGCAATCATTTATATAATACTTTGATTGTTTTTTGGGGTTGTAATGAAATTGATATAATGGAAACAATGTGAATAGGATAATACTTTAGAGCATATTTTTATGCTTTTAGAAGTAGAAGAACGAGAGAGGAACCCGAAATTAGATCCTGCAATCATTTCTTTGGTGTAAGCTAAAAAAAGCACGAAAACGTGAATTAAAAAAGTTTCCCTCATCTCGATCCACTGCTACTTAAAGGATAAGTACAAAAAAAACTTGACTCGATGTAATTGCTCTGTAGTAGATGCAGCGACATGCATGTGAAATGCAACTGTATAATATTGTTTCAATATAATTTTTTTGCTATAAAAATAACAATTTAATTCGAAGTACCAGAATAAATTTTCAACCTACTGAGTGAAAATATTTTATGTTAAATTCTCATTTTTGTAAATTTATGGAACTTGACTTTTTAACGTAATTACGGACGAAGTCCGCGAAACGATAATACATGCACAACTTCCCTCAATGATAAGTAATTCTAATAAAGCATAAGTAACAACAAGTCACGCTTCTATTTCTTCCCGCACCGAGAATCCCACGTAACAATAACTTTTGAAATTGGCAAATATAACGAATGTTACGTATATTTATGTATTTAGATGAAAATAAAGCTTTTCTTTTCGATACATAATCTTGAAAGTCTCTGTTAAAATTAAAAATGGTTTGAAAGAAGTCGTTGATATAAATATTTGTAATAAAAAATGATAAAATACTTAGTAACAAAAAAATTGCTATGTTTATAATTGACTGCTATTTTTTTTATTTTACATAGTTCACTCAAAAGTCGTTGACTCACAATAGTTGTATGTCATACCGCATAATTTTAGCTACGTGTCGTACCTACTGTATTAAAGATTAACTCGAGTCTCTCAGAACGAGACCCGAGACGAGAGTTTATTCGTCTTATCTCTGATTTCATTATACTCTAATTTCATTCGCAAAGTTCTTGTTTTGAATAACTTGAACATTAACAAAAAGATATACCTAACAGCTCAAGAACAACTGTAAAATAATAATCCTGATATCAATTTTGGTTGCACGAACACCTACACTAGTCTAAAACTTACCTCCACTCTTGACAAAAACAAATTTTATGTAATTTTGATTTCTAACAAGTCGACAAACTTATTTTGATAAAAGGTTTTTCTCTACTCTATAATGAATAAATTTAAAAAAAAAAAGTTTTTCTTGTTCGACAACTTCAACCTGCTAACACAACGTTCATGGTCATGGTTATGTTTTCCTCTTCAAAATATTACAAAGCCTCTGTTTGTCGCTTCTAAGAAAGAGGCCCGCTGCTTTACATTGTGGAGGGGCTATTATTAAAAGC